CCCCCCCCCCCCCCGTGTCACGTCACACCTAAAATAATTCAAAGTATGCATACAATTTTCATAACTAAACTAAGATTTTACTTTATTCTTTAACATTTTCCCATAATGGATTAAGATGTATTATTATTAGAAAACTGAGTTTCATAGTATCTATAATACCTGAGACAATTTCGACCTCAAATTAATGTTTTTAAAATTAATTCAATAAAGATTTTTGTCATAATTAGAAAATTTTAGATGAAAAAAAAAGTGACGTCAAAATTTTTTGCCCCCCTCCCCTTGTCACAAAGTGTCACAAATTCTCGACACACCCCACCCCCACCCCCACCCCCAACCTCCCCAGCCTGAGTGTAACGTAATTTGCGAACGACCCCTAAGACGACCCAGTATAATTCTACTCCAAGTTGGAAGGAAATGGAGACAATGTAGTAACCGCTTACATTCCTATTCAAGTACCTATAGTTTGTCAGTAAAAAGAAAAATATTTGCTTTTTTAAAACCTCATGCATGAATGTATTTTTCAATTCCTCAATGTATTTCCTATGTCCGCATCACTGGAACAGCTGCCTGGGTGTGCCCAATGGCGTGGGAAAGGAAGCCAATGATTGGGCGAATATTTTCTTTTCTCGAGTGATCTCAATTGACCTGGATTTACTTACCCCTTTAAACGAGTTTTTTTTTAAAAATTGTATAAGATTATAATTCGTAGAAACGATGGAAACCGAAGACTCATCGGGAAACCCCAAACAAAGATCACGTGATGGTTCCCTTCAAAGGCAAGCGAATGCACAACTTGGACAAAACAAGTTGGAAGGGACAAGAGATATAAATGAAAACAAGGGCGAAACCAGGAAGAGGTCGTCCGTGAGGGGATCCAAGAGTCATAAGAAGAAAGGAGAAAGAAGAGATACAGGTAAAATGCTGTCAATATAAAGACACATATATGCACACTAGAATCTAGAAAACGTAATTGCTATAAGGACCACCAATGCAGTTCACAGTTTAGTTTAAGGATATACGTATTGCATGAATGTGAGCATTTAAAATAAACTTTAAAAAATTATACTTGCCCCCCTCCCCACCCACACGTGGATCCCAACTACCGACCATGCCGACCCCGACCCCCAACCCCCAATCCACAGAGGTCAAATATGAACAAATCCAAAGTCGAATCACAGCTGCCTTTGAAAATCTGGATCCCGATGGCACAGGGAAACTGGACTGCAGGTTGTGTGCTCTGTTATTACGAATTATCTACCTAGACATGTTATAGTTATAAGATTCCAAGTTGAATGTTGCATAGCTATGCTGTTCGTGCTATTCTGGGTCATGGATTTCCTGGATCAGGGCCGCGTCGAGGAAAAACCTGCGCTCGGTGGGAGGCCTGAAAATGGCAACCACACCCCCCCCCCCTCACACTTTTATTAAAATGATATAGGCATTATATATGATATAATATGTATACACACATATGGTTAATAAACTTTTTTGCGCACGGGGCGACCGCCCCCTAGGCCTCCCACTTAGTAAGGCCCTGTGAGGGATATTTTAAATGTTGACAACACAAGTCCATGTTGTTTACGGCTTGATTTTTGTTTCATCTGTTTTCACTAGACCAGTGAAGGCAGTAGTGAGTAGTGTACCTTGAATTTAGCCTGTGTCTGAGGGGAACTCCCAAAGTCTGCGCCCCCCCCCCCCTAAAAACAAAACAAAACAACAGCAAACAAACAAACAAAAAAAAACAACACCAATTATGTATTTGATGTTTCGTGTATTTATGTATATATATATAAACCCAAAAGGGCCACCCTGTGTGATCACCCCCTTCACATCACACTCCCCAATCTACGCCACTGGGTGAAGATCATCCCTGAAGACATCGGATTCGTGAAAGAAAAATAGTTTAATCAGTTTCATATAACAATAACCTGAACAAAAATTACTTCACATCCTTCTATCTCTTCATATAGGGCTACAAAACCCAAAGTCAGCTCTAATAATGTTACAATATATCGTCTTCCAAGCAGGGTTTCCAACTCAATAAAATAACATTTACTGACAAATATAAGAACTCTCAACAAAATTTACGGACAAAAACAATTTTTTACGGACACATTTAACATAAAAATGTTGACCTTAAAACGAACAGCCTAGCTGTCCAGAAAGCTCTTACAGTTTATTAATAGAGCGCGGGATGCCACTAAAACAATTTAAAAATTAAAATTTGAATCAAGAAAATAGATATCACAAACATGATTTACTGGGGGTTTTTTAAACGTTGAGATTCCACGTTTAGTCAATTTTTTTACGGACGCCTTAATTTTTTAACGGAATTTTACGTACAGGCAATTTTAC